AGGGGGCTGCCCTGGCCGCTCCCGGGCCCGCCGGGGGCGCGCGCACGCGGTGGCGGGCGGGGGGCGCGCTCGGCTTTGTGCTCCCTCGGCGGCTGGGAGCGCGGGGTCGCGGCCGCGACCGGGGCCGGGGGAGGGGACGTGAGTGACGAGCCCGGTGCCTGCACAGCTGCACGGGCCCCGATTCCCTGCGCCCTGCCCCGTCCCCGCCCGCGCCCCAGGCTGATCCATCACTCCGGGCCGAGACGTCGTTTCTCACGTTCTCCCCCCGAAACGCCAGTCGCCGGGCGGAATCCCCACTGGGCGCTGCGCCCCCTTCGGGGCCGCGCGTTCCCACTGGGGCTGCGGGATGGGGCGGGAGGTGCGGAGTTGGGGGCCCCAGGAATTGTCCTAACGAGAGGTACCCTCCCACTCTCGGACCCGCCAGGGGCGCCTGAGATGCCTCCGGCGGGTAGTTTGGATGTGAGCGGACCTGTCCCCCGGGAGGGGCGTGGATGGAGGGAGGTTTTCCCGAGCGTCTCATCAGAATCCAGGAGACTGCGCCTCGGGTCTCCTGGGAACCAGGCTTGACTCTGCGCCTTTATTCGTCCGGGGAGCCACTCCTTTTCTCTGCTCGGCAGGTGGTATCTGCAGGCGGTTGGGACTTGGCGGAGGGGGTAGGTTACTATCAGAACTTTAACAAGTGCTTGTTGAGGAAGCGGTGTCTGGAATGAACCAGCTTCCGGACCCAGCCGAGGGCTGGCAGAGGAGGGATGCGCTGGGGGTGCGGAGCGCGGGGGTCAGTCCTGTTCTCCCCCGCCCGCTGCAGGTCGCTGCTGCCTTGCCTTGGGGATAGGATGTGGTGAGAGAATGGGGCTGCTCCCTCCCGGGGGTCACCATGGCCAGAGAAGACTCCGTCAGGTGCCTGCGCTGTCTGCTCTACGCCCTCAACCTGCTCTTTTGGGTAAGTCAGTGCCAGGGCACCGCCAGGTGGGGATGGCTGGACGGGGTTTCCTGCCCACAGCCGCCACAGAATGCGCCCAAGGGCATGGCTACGCATGAATTCATTTCATGGGATCACGCCCTCTGTTTTGCAGAGAAGTACATTTTGACCTTAAAATGTCTTTGATCTACTAGCTCAAGTTCCATTTCAAAAAAGAAATCCACCCCTGGATACTCAGTGGCAGTAAAATTAGACGTGAAGTTAATCTGGGGATATAAATAAATGCACGTGCCTGTGCTTGTAGATAAGAAAATTATGACCTGCTACTTAGGGAACTGCTTGTTTTCAGGAATTTCAGATAACTGTGCAAGCCGTGAATTGTTTCCCTATGTCATCCTAGCCTAAAAGCCTGGTTGTGCCTAGCCAGTCTTACTTATGTTCTAAAGACTTGGTGGATTTTTTCCAGAAGATTCCAATCAGTCTGAAAAGGTGGTTTTTCATGTAAGGGTTCCTAAATTGGGGAAGTTTAAAGGAATTTTGTGTATCCCTTTGGAAAATCCCATACCCATTTAATAAAATAAAATACACTAACTGTAACCAGCTCATGGAAATCTTTATGCCCCAGGAGCTAGTGACTTTTTATGCTTTGCACTCAGACACAAATTTTCATTTAGTGTTACTCATATTCACATTATTATTTATAAAACTTTTGAGGAGAATATAAAAATTAAAACTTTGTTGTTTTAGGGAACGATCATGCTTAAGCAGGTATGTTTTGGGGCAATTTTGTATTCTCTGAATAACATATTCAAAAGGTTCCGTTGGAAATTGTCATGTGTAACTTATTTATTTGGCTGACTGGCTGTCACTGACCAGCCTTTCTTCATAGAGCTATTACATGTGGTCTCTAGAGCATGACATTTTTGTTGAACTGTTCCTTATGGATGGCTCTATTTTAAGGTGACAAGTCAAGCCTTACTTCAGTGAGTAATCTGAAGGATAGCTAAACTGATAACTTTTCCCCCTCAACATGAAAATTAAAGCATTGAGTAGTTAAACTCACCACTTGAAACTGTACAATTCCTACTTAATCTTATTGCCGTTTCTCATTCTAAAAATGTATAATTTTAAGTGGCTCATTAAATTACCATTGTCTTTAAAATGTTAATAATGATCACTCCCATTGGCTAGCTTTTCACTTTTCTCCTTTGTACTTGTTAATAAGAGAATCATCACACTGTTATATCTAAAAAGATATTTAAGGGTGACCAGGTTGAACTTCCTCGCTTTGTGGATGAGAAAACTTAAGTGGAGGTTATTAACTAGCCAAAGGTCAAATAGCACAAAGATGACAGTGCCAGGAGCAGGACTCAGCTTTCTTTCCTCTACACCAAGCATGTCAAACATAATTATTAATAACGAACTACAACGTTCGCTAATGACTGGTTACTATAATGGTGTTGCATTCATTTCCCTTACGCACCTACGCACCTACGAGCAGGCGCACCATTTCTCTCCACTAATACTAGCAGCGAATATTTTAGCAGCCGATTGCCACGTCATTAGTCTTGTACTGACTTGTTTGTTGTGCGCAACAAGAAATATTTCGCTTTTTGCGGCCCACATAAACTTAAACCTTGTTTATTTGGCCCGTGTTAGCTTTGAGTTTGACATGCTTGCCTTTACATGGATGAGTATGGGTTCTGAACCTTGGAATTAGTAGGGGTTTTTGGTGTTGTTGTTGAACAAAGAATAAATGCTTTGGAAATTTTCTCCATAATTTGTATTACCTGAGGGAAAAGCCCAAATCATTTAACAAAAATATGGCTCTTTTGAGTAATGAAGTTTTCTTGAAAGTATCTGTTCCTTAAACTCCTGTAGACCTACTTGTGTCCCCAAAGCAGGGGTTCTCAAACTTTTTAAACAGGGGGCCAGTTCACTGTCCCTCAGACTGTTGGAGGGCCGGACTATAGTTTAAAAAAAAAACTATGAACAAATTCCTATGCACACTGCACATATCTTATTTTGAAGTAAAAAGACAAAACAAAATGGGAACAAATACAATATTTGTATTTTTGCCCGGGGGCCGTAGTTTGAGGACCCCTGCCCCAAAGAATGTGAAATGTTGTCTTTGTTTTTATTCTATACTTCAGCTTTCTCACTTTGTGTGTGTTTTTATTATTGAGATTGCTTCCTCTTTTCTCCAGCCCGCCTTGTCTCTCAAAAATCACTTTCCTCCACCAAAATAATCCATGCGAACTGCCTAGTGTGGGTCCTTCTGTTTTTCTTTATTTCATACAAAGATATATTTACTCATATCTGTCCATGTATTCCCATTCATGAACATTCAGATGTACATTCACAATATTTTATTAAATTGTTTTTTTCTTTTGGGTTAGAATTGCTGTCAGAGGATATGTAACAACAGCAGCAAAAGAGCTAATCCTATATAATAAAAGGCTAATATGCAAATCAACCGAACAGCTGAACGACCGGTAGCTATGATGCGCACTGACCACCAGGAGGCAGATGCTCAACACAGAAGCTGCCCCCTGGTGGTCAGTGTGCTCCCATAGGGGGAACGCTGCTCAACCAGAAGCCAGGCTCTCAGCTGACAAGCGCAGCGGCGGTGGCAGGAGCTTCTCCCGCCTCCGCGGCAGTGCTAAGGATGCAGTGCTAAGGATGTTCGACTGACAGCTTAGGGAGAGGGCCTAGGATCTCAGTTGGACATCCCCCAAGGGCTCCCAGACTGTGAGAGGGCACAGGCCGGGCTGAGAGATCCTCCCCACCCCAAGTGCACAAATTTTGTGCACCGGGCCTCTAGTATCAGTATAAGTTCTTATGTTTGCTAGGCACATTTATGCCTCAATTTCCTAGTCTGAAATAGGAATGATAGTTTCTGTTTTTTAGAGTTGTTGTGAGGATTAGAGTTACTGTATGTAAAGTGCTTGAATAGTGGCACTTAAGTACCTATCTCTATCTCTGTAGCAGTAGTAGTAGTAGTACTTGCAGTTGTTACTACTGGCACTACTACAATACTGATCTCCTGTAAGTAGATTACCAGGGGGTGGGTTGCTGTGTCAAAGGAATCTTTTAGTAGTAATGGTGGTAATTGTAATTAACACTGCTGCTAGTGTTAGCACTATGACACTCCTTAGATGTAGCAATCCTGTCCTGGGAACCCAGCCCCTAGGAATAAGAGCACCACTACACCCCATTATGTGGATGAAGATATTTGTTGCCATCTTGTTGGTTATGGTGTATATATATATATATATATGTAATTGATTTTTTTACAGAGAGGAAGGGAGAGGGATAGAGAGTTAGAAATATCAATGAGAGAGAAACATCGATCAGCTGCCTCCTGCACACCCCCCCTGTGGATGTGCCTGCAACCAAGGTATATGCCCTTAACTGGAATCGAACCTGGGACCCTTGAGTCCGCAGGCTGATGCTCTATCCACTGAGCCAAACCGGTCAGGGCTGGTTATGGTACTTTTTAATTTTTGCCATTCTGAAAGGTTTAAAGCAGTGATGATCAACCTTTTTCATCTCATGGCACACATAAACTAATGATTAAAATCCTGCAACACACCAAAAACTATGATATATTTTCTGCCTATCTGACAAAACATAGGTATAATTTTGATTCATTCACACCGGATGGCTATTGTGTTGGCTGTTGTCATTTTTAAATTTGACAATCTAAGGGAAAAGAGGTCCGTGTCCTTGAATAAATAGTAAGGCATTGCATGCTTTAAAAATTCTTGCAGCACATGGGTTGAAAATCGCTGGTTTAAAGTTTTATCTCACTGTTACTTTACTTTTTACTTCCTCCACCATCAGTGAGCAGAGCATCAATTTATATATACATATATATTTATATATATTACTTCATTTCATAATTAATATTAAATATTTTATATTTAAATTTCAGTTTGCGCTATTTTTCATTTCATTTATGTTATCTGTTGCTGCATTAAAAAACAAAATTTTCTGTGTTTTTAATAGAATTTTTCTCTAGAATTTTATGCATTCTTTCATGTTCTATTCTTTTAAAGCACTTGCCTTTTTTGTGTTGGTTAAAGATTTCTTTTTACATACTCATTTTAAGATTGCTGTATACAATTAAAAATAACTATGGGAGTTTTGTTGGAATTGTATGAAATGTATAGGCCAGCTTTGGGGAAATTGCCGTTATTCTCTCAATGTTAAATTTGTGTCTGCTGATCCTTGATTTCCTATCGCTACTGAAACAGAAGCAAGCAGTTTTCTGCCTTGGGCTGGGCACATACCTGGCCATCCTTACACTGATCTCTCCTCTAATTCTCATCACAGCTAGGGAAGATAGTTTTTTGTTTTTGTTTTTTTTTTGCTAGGGGAAATTACTCAGAGAAGTTCTATAACTTGCTAGTAGATAACAGAACAGGGATGCAAAGTTCCAATTTTTTTTTCTCTCCAAGTGCCAGGGGAGTTGTACTTCTGGACACAGTGGGGAATTTATTTGCAGCAAAGAAGTAAACAGCCTTAATCGGAAGGGATTAGCTGTCCACTGCTCACTCCAAGTCCTCTACGTGCGGACAATCACCTGGGCCTCATGTGTGTTAAAAGCAGATTCTGATTCCGTGTGTGTGGAGTTAGGTCTGAGAGTCTGCATTTCTAAAAAGCTCCTTTGTGATGCTGAGGCTGCTGGTGTGAGGGCCACATTTTGAGGAGTGAGGCTTTTGTCCTTGCTTTTGGTTCTCATTGGAATTGGAAGCAGAACAAACCAGTGCGGCTTATGAATCCCACTTCTTAAACCAGACTTCACATCCTGAGTATGGACTGGACAAGTGTTCTTTCCTCTTGATCAAGAGCTATAGTCTTTTGCTCTCAATTGGCATTTTAAATGGCATTTTCCAGCCTATATCTTCTATACTGGTACCCTCCCCCCTTCTCTACCCCACAGGATTTTAGAGAGAGAGAAAAAAAGAAATCTTAATTGGGAAAACACTGGGAACCTATATACAATTTTGTTTTGC